CTTATATCCTAAATAGAATCTTTAGATGAACTTTGACAACGCCATTAGAGAAGACAATGAACTGGTACAATATGTTATGTTTACTAACTTTGAACCAATTGATTAAAAAGTAACTTTGAAGGAAAATGTGTTGGAAAATGCAATACTTGATGAATCGAGATCTATTTACAATAATAGAACATAAGAGCTGACCAAACTATCAAATGACGAGAGGGCCACTATGTGAAATGGGTATACAAAATAAAGTGAAAGCATAATGGAAAAATAATGAAGTATAAGAAAATCAAGGTCAACCCTAAACCAGGGCAAACAGGCCCACATCTCAAGGCCTAAAGAAAATAGGACCTCAAATTTTGTTAACGGACTTTATAAATAAAATATTAAAATATTAAAATAAATTATGATATTTTTGCATAAAAGATTAATGACTGAGCGGTGCGGTCGTGGTTTCAATTGTGAAATTTTACATGGTATGATATGGGTTCGATATCCTTCCCAGTGATTGTGGCAATTAAATTTTTTAATTTAACAATAAAGTTGATTCTTTTAATCTAATTATTTTGTCAATTAAATTTTTTAATTCAAAAATAAAGTTGGTTTTTAAATTTAACCTTATTTTAAAATCATAAAATTATCTTTTAGAAATTTGTAATCTTATAATAAATGAAGTGTAGACTATTTTAATTTTTTAAAATATTTTATTCTTTTGTTACAGTGTTTATACTTTAAAATATTACTAAAATTTAATGTTATTTTAAATAAGTTTAAAAGAAATATCTTTTAGATATATTGTTTTAAAATATTATGTAATTTTGATTATATTAAAATTTTTAATGATAAATATTAAATAATTAAATGTTAAAATTATTATTTTAATTTATAAAAAAATATTAAAATTCATTTCTAATATTAAAAAAAAAAACTTCTCATAAAATTATTAAATATTTTAAGATATTTCATATGATTCAATTGTTTTAATTCAATATAGTCTTATAAAGGCTTCAAACTTGATCTCATTTTAAAATTAGAAATTAACCTACATAGCAATTTATGGTTTTTATAAGTTACTTAAAATTATCTTTTATAAATTTGTGATCCTATAATAAACAAAACGTAGTTTATTTTAATTTTTTAATGTTATTTTAAATATTTTATTATTTTGTTATAATTTTATTAAATTTTAAAATATTGCTTAAATTTAATATTATTTAAATAGATTTTTTAAAAAAATTATTTATTAGATATATCATTTTAAAATATTATGTGATATTTATTATATTAAAATCTTTAATGATAGATATTTAAATAACTAGATGTCATAATTATTCTTTTAATTTTTAAATTATAATTGAAAATATATGTTTTGAAGATATATCGTCTACTAATAAAAAAAGTTTCATCGAAAAGAATATATGTTTCGAACAATGAAGATGAATATGATGAAGAAGTTTTGATCAACATAATCTCTAAATGAAGAAATGAAGGGGGTTTTATAATTAATGCAAAATGGAATAGAACCCATATAATTGAAAAATACAAGTTCTACTGTGACGAATCAAATTAATCAATTTTTTTACTCGTATGGACTTTTATATTTATATATAATTATTTCTAAATCATTAACCTTTAATGTAAAAATAGAATCCAAAAAAAAAAAATTAAAATTCAATGTTAGTTGTTCAATTTTTTATTAAGGATCCGTTTTTATTAATTAACCTGAGCCTCTAAAAGTTCAGGACCAACCCTAAAAAAATATTGTTAAAAAAGGGTCTCCTACGAAGAGAAAGACTTAATTACTATGAATTATTCTCATTTGAATGAGATAATCAAACTTTTCATTGCCTTGGTCTGTACTAGAAGATGACTAATACTTCATTTAGTTATCAAATATGCATTTCTAAATGGAATATTAGAAGAAACAATCTTTGTCAATCAACCACCATGTCTTGATATCAAAGACAATGAGAACACATTATATAGGTTTCAAAAATCACTATATGGCTTGAAGTAGGTCCCTAGAGCATGAAACAAAAAATTGGAATTTGGATCCTCTCATGTCTTTTTTGTTCAACGTTCTCTCTTTTTCTTAATCTAATGGTTGATTACAACACAATGAAAGATGATAATAAAAGTGAGAGAGAGAGAGAAAAAGATGAATTATTAGATGAGATTAAAGCATGATGTAAACATGAGAGAAATGACATGAAAGAATACAAATTCAAAAAATTGACAAATTCTTCATTCAACAAGGATTCAAAAAGTTCACTATTGAACAAGAATTATACGTAAAAGAGAACACTAGCAACCAAATGCTAATCATCTTCATGTATATAGATAACCTATTGGTGACACACACATTAACAACTTTGAAATTAAGGTATTCGAAGATAAAATAAAAGCTAAGGTTGAGATGGAAGACCTAGGAAACATCACCTATTTTCAAGGAATAGAATTCCTTGAACCTTCGATAGGCCTAGTTCTCCGTCACGTCAAGTATGCTACATAGATTATAATAAACTTTGATTAGGATGACTACAACTGTGCAGTGACACCAGCAGAGTCAAGGCCAAAATCCGTTAATGAGAAAGATGATGAAACATATATTATATTATGTTTAGAAAGTTGATTGGCTCTTTGAGGTATTTATGTCAATGTATACCTGATATTTAGTTTTCTGTTGGAGTAGAGAAAAAATTTATGAGTACTAGTTGCCAAAAGAATATTAAGGTACATCAATGTAGCCATCCATTATGGTATCCTATTTACGAAGGTCTTAATATAAAGAAAGCTAAAATTAGTGAAATTCTATGATGTTGATTAGTGTGATAACAAATAAAATAGATGGAGCACAAGCGACTATACATTCAAGTTTCAAGGATCACCAATCTTATGGTGCTCCAAAAAATAATTTGTAACCTATACAATTGTGAAAGTGATTATGTTGTAGAATATGTAGATGTTTCTCCATAAAATTGGTTGAATCTCTCATAAATAAGTTAAGAACAAAACCAACATTTCAGTTAAACTAAAGATAGATAACAAGTCATCCATCAATTTTACAAGAAATCTTATTTTTCATGGGAAAAATAAGCAAATAGAGGCAGTGTTCTATTTTCTCGGAGATCAAGTCAACAAAGAGAAGTTTATCATGAAGTATTGTCCTACTTAAGATTAATTGACTAATTGGCAGATTTGTTTATCGAAGTTGTGAAAAAGGATCAATTTCTATAGCTTAGGAGGGAAATCATAATCATTTCTTTTGATTAGTTTAAGATTATGGAGTATTGAATGCTATAATCCTAGTACTAGTCCTTGTCTTGAATAGACTAAATAACTAACTATTAAGTGATTATTTATTGTTAGATTAATTATTTAATTAATTTATTAAAAAATAATATAATTAATTAAATATGGATTGACATAATCAATTATTAATTAATCATATTATGGTCACTTATTTAGGGATGTTAACTTGTATCATTAGCGGAGATTCATGTGGATATTCCTCGTTTGAGACTTTAAAGACGGGGATTTTTTCTTCCATAGAGACGGGGATAGAGAACAAAGTCTCTCCGAAGACACTTCAGAGACGAAGATGCCGTAAATATTCCCCGCTCCGTAGAGCCCCCACCCCGCCTAAAATACCATAATAAACATAATTTATATATAATTTTAAATTTTTATATAGGTTTATTTGTTATTTCATATAATTTATCTTATAAACAAATTTAAAATATAAATGAATTATTAGTAAAAGAGTGAGATATAAATGATTATTTTAAACTTTTTAAGTTCGAAATTTTAATGGTTATGACACTTAATATTATAGATTAAATATTGTTAAAATAATAGTATATTTATTATAAATGAATAATTTCTAAATTTTGTTGTGGTTAGTTTTTGAAATTTTTACTATTAATTTGGTTTAAAATAATAAATAAAGAAAATCATGTTTATGAATCTCCGTATGAACTTTGGAGATCCACGGAAATCTGCGGGAGCGGAGAATATGGGGACAAAATCTTCCCGTAGCAAAGAGCCGAGACGCGGATGGAGAATAAATTCAAAGATAGAGATTGAAATGTGAATGTATCCCCTATCCCGTCCCGCCCCATTGACATCCTTACACTTGTTATTAAACACTAATTATTAATGAATTATTTAATTCTGTTTTGTATTTGAATAGATTATAATGAAATGGACAATTCAATTAAACCCAATAAAAAATCTTTGCCCTTTATCATTTAATTAATTATATGTCGTTTAATTAATTATATGTTACTTCATTAGACAATTAATAATATATTATGAATACCTTAAATGATAAAGAGAGTAGTAATCTTCCAACGACCATCTCTCCACATTTAAAACATAAACCATCCAAAACTATTGTTTATTATAATATGCTATAGTTTGTATATATCAGTTATCAAATTAATTTATATTAAATCCTTGTGTTTTTTAACTATAACTTTTAGAGGTGGATTACAAGCTATATAACTAACCTCCCTCATGTAACTTTCATATACTCACATTCATATTTTCAATGATCACAATTCATCTCTCTTAATTACCCCCTGTAACTCAAACAAATATATTGATCATTTTGTTATATATAAAATGTGTTCGTTGGCTATAAAAAAAAAGTGTCCGTTGGTGTACCTAGATAAATTTAGAATGTAAATTAATGGAGAAATTCTCCTAGGAACCATAGCTAAATCATAAGGTAACCAAAAACAACAACAATAATTTGCTTGGTGATCAATAACTTTTTTTCGATAAAGATACTTCAGGTAAGAAGATGACAACAAAATTCAAAATATGAAAAATCTTAGTTCAAAGTTTACATTTAACTTAGGGATCAAAATTTAATACAATACATGATGAATAAGAATATATGAAGGACGAGTAATTAATAGAAAAAATAAAGAATATATGGACTATGATATCCAGAAAGAAGAAATAAAATTACAACAAGAAATGAAGAACAAACATCTCGCTTAATTCCCTCTCATGTGATTGTGACGATGATTATTGATGATAAGAAGAATCTCAGAAACTCTACGATTAGCATTGGTTTCATTGTTCGAAGCAACAGCCGTAGCCCATTCCCGCATCTTCAACTTCACCCACTCATCATCATCCCTCCCAATAATCCCATGACTACTCTCACGTTTAGTAGCCTTTGGTGACTCTGTTATTATCTTTTTAAACCTATGCTCCATTTCCATGTAATCAACACCAGCCATTGCAAGTGCTTCAACTGACATATTTTGATGCAACTTAGAGATATAAAACAAATGAATTGTTTTTGGTACAAAACATTGGTGTACGTGCATTGTATGTATATATACTAATAGGAGTGTGTCATAACGTAAAGTTCTTTCTTGGCTGCTAAAGGTTAGTTAATGTGTTCACGGGATTTTCATGTAACTGAAGAGGGAGAAAAGTTGAAATTCTTCATATTAAGCTTTGGACTTTGATTCAGCTTCAAACTTCTGACTCTCATCGCACGAGCGTTTATTTCTTGCAACGGGCATGGATGACTATCTATGGGGTGACGACCAAGACAAGAAAAAGAAAAATACTTGTACTAGTCTAAATGGTATAATAATTGTCCGACTAAAATAGGTAAATGAATCCCATATTCACCACAAAAATTTGAGATACTATCTTTCTTAATATCGTTGATAATGATAGGGAGAGAGGTCATATGAGTACATATAAATAATAGAGTGAAAAATTTATTGAAAACATAAAAGAACGTGTAGATCGGAAGTGTTAGTGCATGAGACATTTTTAAAGAGGAGAGAATAATAAAAAAAAATAAGAATTTGTATTATTGAATTGTACCAATAATGATACATACTAAAACTATTTATATACAATCCTAATTAGATTTGGGTATACACAACTTGAATTATATTTAAATATTAAATCTAATCAAATCAAATTTAATCTAATATTTTAACAAATCTAATTTAACATTTCAACACACCCTCATAATCCAAATTGTCGAACATCCTCAAAACTAGTCAATATGAATTATTCCTAATTTCTTTCTCAAATTCAAGAATTTGTTAATCTTCAATCATTGGGTGAAAATATCAGTCAATTGTGCTTCACTCGAGCAATGTCTTAGTTCAAGTTCACCTCAATTTATCTTTTCCCTCAAGAAGTGAAACCTTGATTCGATATGTTTACTTCTTCCATGTAGAACTGGATTCTTCGTCAGATTTATGGCTGACTTGTTGTCGATTTGCAATATAAGAAGTTTCTTCACTTTGACCTTTATTTCTTTAAGTACAGACCTGATCCAAATTGCTTGACATGCAACATTGAGTCCTGCTATATATTCAACTTCACAAGATGATAATACCATCACAAGTTGTTTCTTCGAACACCGTGAGATTGGGGCACCAAATACTTGAAAGAAATATCTAGTTGTGCTTCTTCGATCTTCCTTATCTCCACACCAATCAACATCTGAAAAATAATTAACTATTTCTTCTTTGTCTTTAGAATCTCGTCGAAATAGTATTCCACAGTTTATCAAACCCTTCAAATATCTCAGAATTCTTCTTGCGGCCTTCATATGTGACACTCTTGGTTCACTCATATATCTGCTTACTAATCCTACAACAAAACCTATATCAGGTCGACTATTGCACACATACCTCAGAGATCCCACAATTTGCTTGAACAAAGTTACATCGACTTTATCTTCCTCTCCATTCTTATCCAATTTTATGTTTGGTTCGACAGGTGAGGATATAAGATTCAAATCATCCATTCTGAATCTCTTGAGTATTTCTTTGACATACTTCCTTTGATGTAGCACCATACCTTACTTCGACATTTGAAATTCCATACTTAAGAAATAAAACAATTTTCCCAGATCAGACATTTCAAATTCCTTCATCATCAGCTCTTTAAACTTCAACAAGTTCTCCAAGATATTTCCAGTCACTAGCAAGTCATCGACATATAAGCATATGATTGTTATATCTTGTACTACAACCTGAACATAAACACCATACTCAGATTTGCATTTAAAAAATCCCAATTTGACTAGGTATGAGTCGATCTTCTTGTTCCATGCCCTTGGTGCATGCTTGAGGCCATAGAGCGCTTTGTGCAACTTATATACTTTACTTGCTTCCTTATGAATCACAAACCCTGGAGGTTGTGTGACATAGACTTCTTCGTCTAAAGGACCATTCAAAAATTCTAATTTCACATCTAAGTGAAATGTCGACCAACCTTGATTGCATGCCAATGCTACCGCTAGTCGAACAATCTTCAATCTTGCTACTAGAGAAAATAATTCAGAGTAGTCGAGTCCTTATCTTTGAAGAAACCCTCGAGATACTAATCTTGTTTTATGTCTTGCTATCGAGCCATTAACATTATGTTTCAACTTGAATACCCACTTTACTTCGATAGCTTTTGTATGTGCTGGCAATTTGACTAACTCCCACATGTTGTTTTTTTTGATTGCATGTAACTCTTCGACCATAGCTAACTTCCACTATTTAGTCTTCAAAGCTTCGCTATAGTTAATTGGTTTAGCACCTGCAAGTAAAGCAAAATGAACTAATTTTCTATCTGGTGTGACTTCATCATCACCCACCACTTCATAATCATGAAGTCGTGTTGGAAGAACTCTATTTCTTTGAGGTCTTTGGCTTGTTTCAGCCACAACCTCTCCGACTTCGACTGTGTCAGGAATGTCAGCAACTGCTTCTTCTTTGACTTCAACTGGATTCTCAATAATTCCTTCGATCACTACTTCATCATTTTCTTCATCGAAATCAAAACTCATCAATGACTTGTTAATTGAATTGCTAGAATTATAATCCCAGGCAAAAGTTTCATCAATCACAATATCTCTAGTCAACACAATTTTCTCATTAATTGGATTGAATAGCCTGATGCACCAATTTTATGATATCCTACCAGAATCATAAGTTCACTTTTGTCATCAAGCTTTCTTCTTCTCGCATCAGGAATACACTTGTAACACATAGAGCTAAACATCCTCAAATGACTTACTGATGGTCGTTTGCCACTCCATACTTCTTCAGGAACCTTGTTCTTTAATATCATAGTAGGACACCTATTCAAAATATAAATTGCAGTCGAAATAGCTTCTCCCCATAAAAACTTTGAAAAATTATTTTGCTTCAGCATGTATCTCGCCATATCTAATATGTTTCTGTTTCTTCTTTCACCAATTCCATTATGTTTAGGTGTATAAGGAGCAGTTACATTATGATCAACACAATGTTCTGCACATAAATCTTCAAATATCTTGGATGTGTATTCGCCACCTCCATCTGTTCGCATAAATTTGATCTTCTTCTCACTCTGGTTTTCGACAAGTATCTTGAATATCTTAAATATTTCGAATACTCCGTATTTTAATTTGATCACTTAGATCCACAACTTTCGACTAAACTCATCGACAAATGAAACAAAATATTTGTTTCCACCAATTGTATGTTCTTCGAATGGACCACATACATCTAAATGTACCACTTCGAGTATGCACGTTGATCTCATTGGCATAGTCGAAACAAAAGAATTTCTGGATTATTTTCCTACTAAACAACCTTCACAAAGTTTTTCAGACATCTCAAGACTTGGAATTCCATTAACCATATCTTGAGTAATCAGTTGATTAAGTAATTGAAAATTCAAATGTCCAAACCTCAAATGTCCAACCAACTATCCTTGTGGTCAACAACAGTTTTCAAACATTGAACTTCAGTCGAACTGATCATAGTCTTACATGTCCCGTTCTTCGACAACGGAGATTTTAAGACCAAATTGTTCTTGGTGTCGAACAATTTCAAAACTCCATCTTTCATGAGAACTGAGAAACCTTTTTCGACTAGTTGTCCAACACTTAGCAAGTTGCACTTTATTCCAGGTACATAAAGCACATCTTTGATCATAGCTTTCCCTCAATAACTCATTTGAAAGACTATATTGTCAGTACCTTCTTCTTGCAACAAACTATTATCAGCAAGTTTTACCTTGCTCTTCTTCGACTAGTCAAAATATGCCAACCACTTCTTTCGATCAGTCATGTGGTTCGAGCAGCCTGAGTCGAGAAACAAGATCTTGGATTTGACATGGTTATATGAAATTGCAGACATAACCACCATACCACCTTCAGAATCATCTGAATCTTGGCGTGCAAGGTTCGCTCTTTCGTCCTTGCCTATCGATCCCTTTTCTTTTCTGTACCAATAATTCTTGTCTACGTGACCCCATTTTTCACAGTTATAGCACTACACACTTTTTTTATCTTCTTTTCCCTTTTGATAGTTTCCTAATCATCCTTTCGAGGATTCAGAAGCTCCATCTTCGACTTGATGCTTGTGAGGTTTAAACCAAGACTTCTTGTCCTGAGTTTTGTGGAACTTGCCTTTAAATTTGTTGGAACCGCCATCCTTTTTCCATGTCTGAGCTTGCAGAGCCTGTATCGAGTCCTAAACTCATTTCCTTTCGATAATCCTCATCTCATGCGCCTCCAATGAACCAACCAAATCTTCCACTTTAGTGTTTCAAGATTGTTGGATTCTTGAATAGCTACGATAACGTGATCAAAGTGAGAGGTCAACGTTCTCATTACCTTCTCAACTATCATCTTATCAATTATGGTTTCACCACAACCCTTCATGAAATGGACAAGTTTTTGAACCTTCGACACATATTCTACAATTTTTTCATCTTCTCCCTTCGACAACAACTCATATTGTCGATGCAAGGTTTGTAACTTGACAACCTTGTCTTTCTCACCTCCTTCGTAATAATTCACCAGAATATCCCATGTTTCCCCCGCCATTTCAGCATGAGAGATTCTGTCGAAATTAGAAACATCGATCGCCGTCTGAATGCAATAAGCAGCCTTTCAATCTTTCTTCTTGACTCCACTGTGGTTTTTTTTTGTTCATTGATTGCGTTTGCAGTCAACGCATGAACGTTCTCGGTAACCACTTCTAGGATTTCATGGAAGCCAAACAAGGATTGCATCTGTTTTTTCCATCGGATTCAATTTTTACCGTCAAACATTGAAAGAAAATTCATAATGCCCTTATCACTAGCCATTTCCGCAGCGGTTGATTCACTTGTCCTATAAACACGACCTCTGACATGAAATTCTTGAAAACTCGATCAAGAACAATAACTGAAAGCTCTAGATACCAATTTGTTAGTGCGTGAAACACTTTTAGTGAGGAGAGAATAATAAAGATAATAA